AAGTGGCTTCCCTACCACTAGGTCCCTATAATTCATATCGAAATACTGTGTTGTGATGCATACATCTTTAAAGTCTAGTGAAATTTATTTACTAAGTAACTATATTTCCAGAGACTAAAAATACCATTGTTTTAGAAGCAGTTTAAAAATTCATTTGACAGGGCTGATAGATGCACATCTTGATAAATATATACTGTGAAGGCATACATATAAACACCCATTGCTTACTGATAGTCACGATAAATCCATATGGTCATGTATTTATATGTTATAGCTGCAACAGCCCCTTTGCTTGATCAATATGAAGAACAAGTGTTTAACAGGAACATGGTTTAGATAGACTAATCCCCTAATCTATTTGGTTTGGAGTGTACTATTATATTCCGTTTCTTAAGGTCTCCTTTGCCAGATATTCTTTGATATTCTTTGGTAATACCCTAAAATATCAATTAGAGAATCATGATCCTTATGCTTTCTGCCTTTGAATATGTAACAGTGTTGTGCAGGAGACGTGACTCACCCATTCATCCATTGTAAAGCTAAGATCCCAAACCAACAGAACAAGTTTTCCACAGTATTTTGATTTTGGACAGTGAAGCTAATGAAATAGTAAACACAGCCATGAGAATTTTTCTTAACATTTAAATAGTTTTAGACTGCATGTTCCCTTATTATCTGCAAGCTGTTTCATAAGCTGAAACACTGTGGTCATTGTCTGAAGTGCCATCGGATCAAATTGAATCTTAGCTATAGTAGGAAACAATAAATCTCAACATGTCTCTAATATCATGGTGTGCTTTGAGGACTCATCTTTTCTTTGATATTCCATCATTTGTAAAGCCAAATGATAAAATCACAGTGAGAAATAAGTTGTATATAATATGAACCTTCTACTTGGTATTTTAAAACCATGCTACTTAAATATGCTATTCCCTCACTTTTTAAAAATTCCTGAAACGGTGCCTACATATGGAATATTTACTTTTAAGTGAGTTTTTATCATGTTTAATGACATAGAGTTCATGATTCGTAAGAATAATTTCATGATTTCTAAATACTGACTTAGCATGGAGTCAGTCATTTTAAAATCAGAGGTTTCCAGATTTATTCACAGAAGTGGCTATTTTAGAGTCCACTCTTATGTACACAGTGGTCACACTGAAGGGCTGTAAGCACAGATTTTATTTTAGATTACTCAATGTTTCTGTTACCTCCTATTTTTGCCCTGTGGCATTGGGTGACATTTCATAGAGACTGAATTGGCAGAGGGTTGGAAAATATGTAATTATAAGAATCACCTGCTATGGAATTTCTTATTATATACTAGTCATGATTCAGGTAGACTTTTCATAGATGTTGGATGAGAAGTTTTCTTCTTTCAAAACTTGTGATTAAAACGTGGCTTTTTGTATATAAATAGGAGACGGATTCTGCACAGTCCAGCTGTGAATCAGACCTGGTGTAGCAATGCAAGTCTTTGACCTGTATCATATAGGTAGCAATATACATAGTTGGAAATATATTTTAAGATTAGGTGCAATAAATCTTTTTAATATTCCAAGCTTGAAACAGACCAAGTGCTAAAATGCAGGAAGATGAGTGGTGAGGTGTTTTTCTTTACTTAATGCTCCTCAAAGGAATTCCAACAAACAAATAAATCTACTAAATTATACTTGAAAAATTTCTTCTCGTTCTCTCTTTATATATGACACATATATGATGTATATATGCAGAACATATAAAGAATCTGTTTAACAGCAAGTGAACACATTTATCAATTGCTGCAGTATAATTGTAAGTGCAGAGGATAGATTATGTTTCTTCATAATTGGAACTAAAACATAACCATGCAATAGTGTTTGGATAATAGACTTATCTGCTGCATTAACTTTTGTATATCTGCGTCAGTAAAGTTTCAATTGTCAATTAACTAACTGGAATTATGCAACCCATTTCCAATGACAGTTTTTTTTTCTGGTTACCACAACAACACAAGCATTTTTTTCTATGCATAGCTTAGTTTGTATATGAAAGTCTGTCTCTTACAATATTTTGTTTAAATATTGTGTGTTATTCTGCTACAGTCTAAATGCATACAAATGATATCATTCTACTGTCAGGTATGCTGTTATTTCACAGTGAGAAGATATACGAAAAGTTTACATGCCAAGGTGGTCACTACCCATTCACTTCTTGCAATGATGCTTTAACTTTGGATAGCTGTCAAGTTGATATGGATTGTTTGAACTAGAGCCTGGAGGCCATCTTCTCCAAATTTTGAAATGCTCTCTACAATGAAGAAAGTGTAAAAATGATTCATATGAATGTATTAGTTCTAAAAACCCATTGGATTTAAATGCAGAAGGAATGCATGCTCATACGTGTATAGCTTTGCATGAGTGTTGGCCGGGGACCCAGAAGCATTAGATTTTTACTCCGTCACTATCTTTGTATTTACTCTGCTAGTTCACTGTTCATATTCATTGGTGGTGTTCTATGCCCCAAATTATTTTTATATTTCTGGAGGGTCTCCCAAATTCTCCTGTTTCCATTTCAGTCATTACTACAGCTTTGAAATCTTCCACACATACATGAGTAGGAAATCTTCATAAAGTCTGTCTTTTTGAAGTGTTTAATTTCATAGAGCTCTTTCTTGTAACACAGGATGTGGCACATGACAGACCTCGTGAGCACTGGTTTGACTAGGAGTGGAGCGAATTAACCTGTCTGTATTTACACTATCAAGTTGTGTAATCTAGACCCAGTCTGCTCATCTGTTCACTAGGTTCTCTTCCTCCTTTTCTGCACTCCCCTTTCATCTACTGTTTTAACTTTTAGTCCCTTGTATTGCTTTCTCCTTCCCTGGGAGCACTATCCCTGGGAGCAGCTTCCACCATTGCTTCTATGTGATTAACTGAATTCTTTGTCTCTAGATCAACTTCCTATTGAGCTTTTGAAGTTATAGTTGTCTTTAGGATTTTTATTACTTGTACATCCTTTCAAATATTAGATAACTTATTCTTAGCAAACTCATGAGAGCTTTAGATACTTTAGAGCTGGAGGCAAGCCACCTTACCTGAATTCTGGAAACTCAACCTTCACCCTATATAAAATCTCCAAGTGCTGTAAACCATTAAGGCTTCTCCAGCCCAGCCACATAGAGCCACCTCTCCAGCCCAGTCACCTAGGGCCACCTCTCCAGCCCAGTCACCTAGGGCCACCTCTCCAGCCCAGTCACCTAGGGCCACCTTTCCAGCCCAGTCACCTGGGGCCACCTCTCCAGCCCAGTCACCTGGGGCCATCTCTCCAGCCCAGCCACCTAGGGTCAACTCTCTAGCCCAACCCACCTAGGGCCATTTTTCTCTTAGTTGAATCACTTTAGATTTTTGTCTTTATCCAGTCACTCTCCATACTTAATATTCTTTGTATTAGAGAATACTGAGTTTCTCTTCTGTACCTTGCAAGTGTTCGTGTCTTATTGGTGTTCCTGAAATGGACTGTCTTCAAGTTGTCTCTTCCTATAATGTACTGTCAGACTTTACTTCTTAAACTACAAATTTCTCATGCGTCTCCTTTATGGTAACATTTCTTAAATGAGTTTAGTTGTTTTAGAAAGTTACTGTGTGTGTGTGTGTGTATACTCATGTGTAGATCACTGGAGGTCAGAGGACAACTTGTAGGAGTTGGTTCTCTCCTTGTACTATAATCGATGTTTCTCTTCCACCTGCCAGTTCCCGAATAAATAGTCAAAGGTTTAATATTACTTATTAATGTTTGGTCTTTATATTATTGTTATCAGGCTTATTATTAGTTAGCTCTTACATATAATTTTTTTAAATCTATGCTTTGCCATGTGGTTTGTGGCTTATTACTACATTCTTTTACATGTCTTGCCTCCTCCCAGACTCTGCCCTTCTTCTCCTGTATCTCTGTTTGGATTTACCACCTGGTTTTATCCTGCCTTGTCATAGTCCAAAATAGATTTATTTATCAACCAATGAGAGCAACACATATTCACAGTGTACAGAAAGATCATCCCACAGCATTCTACCACATGGGTTTCAAGGATCCAACGCAGGCTATCAAGGTTGTTGCCAAGTTCCTTTATCTACTGAGCCTTTTTGACTGATCTATGTAAAACTCTTAAGAGCTACTTACAATCTATGGAAGTAGGACTCCTTCCTTCCTTCCTTCCTCCCTCCTTCCCTCCTTCCTTCTTCCCTCCCTCCTTCTTTCTTCCCTCCCTCCCTATCTTCCTCCCTCCCTTCCTTCCTCCCTCCCTCCCTCCTTCCTTCTTTCCTTCCTCTCGCCCTTCCTCCCCCTTTCTTTCAATAAAAGGCTAAGGGTCAAACTATCACAGAGTCTAAAAAAGTAAAGGATGGAATCTGCCTCTGTTTAAGTGCAATATTCAATATCCTGTATTCAGCTTTATGTGCAAAATAGCTTCTGGTCACTTTATTATAACTCAGGGGTGTTATAGCATGCAAGTTGGGATACATTAAGTTATGGACAATAATATCTGTTTAGTATCATGTGATTTCTACTCTATAATCTGTACTACATTGTTCCTTTAAAATTCTATCTTTGAGCTGTACTGTATTTATACACACACATACGTATTTCCCAGAATGCTCTTACATCATGTGTCTTCTGTCTGCCTCTTCAAATCTTCATTCCTCTCAGTGCAGCTGCCTCTACTCCCTTACTGAATGTGAATGAATATTTGGGAAATAAATGAATTAAGTATATTTTATATGCTGTGTCTCTTCAGGAATTACAGTTTTGTCTTCTTTTTGGAAATTGTTTTCATACTACATTTAAAAACTGAACAAATAGACATGATTATTTTATACTTATCATGGTTCAACGTCCTCACTCTTTAAAGAACTTGCATAAGAATGGTTGTTTCTAATTTTGTAGATTATGAATACAAACCTAGGAGCTAATTGACTAAGTCAGTAAGTATAAGCCTACTTTAAATTTATGTTCTTTTCTCTTAGGACCTGCAACATACAATCCTGTTTTAATGAAGTCTTCTGCCATAATCTCATTTTGTAAAGGACCAAAGCGTTTTGGACATTTTCCCCAAGAGTTTTCTCCTGGTCCAACGACATACGAGGTTTGTCAGCTCTTTCTCTTAGCTCTAGCATGAATAGAATGTTTATATAAATTACAGAACTTGTGCACAGTAAGTTCTTCCTATGTGTGTACCGAGAGCACTGACTAGTCAGATTTTTTCTACTTGTGTAAGATATTTTTGAAGTTGTATTTTGACAATTTAAGAAAAACCATTGCAGAATTATAACTTTAATATTGTACTAATTTTATATTTTTCCTCTATAGAATTGATGTATAAGACATCCATGCTTTCCTGTAAATTTACAAACTTCTTAGATACTTTTCTATCTGCTTTAAGTTTATTTATATACTTAATTTATATATATACATATATATATAATTTGGTTTCATAATGAATGAAGGTCTTCTAAGCTAAGGCCTTTTGAATGTACGACTTAAATCTGCATAAACGTTTGTGGCAATTGTGCTTGTAGTAAAGCTTTATAATTCTTTTGAGTGTATTTTATGGGTTTCTTTTTCAAGACAGGGGTTCTCTGTGAAACAGTCCTGTAGACCAGGCCGGCCTCAAACTCACAGATATCCTCCTTCCTCTGCTTATTGAGTGCTGGGATTAAAGGCATGTGCCACCACCACCCGCCAATTTTATGAGATTTTTGGATGAGCACTTATAAGCACCAGGGCTTACTTACCAATCTAAATTTACCTGGTATGACCGAGAAGTGAATCTTAGCCAGGCCATAAGAGAGGGGTCTCAGCAAGACTGAGACTGAGAAAGTTTATTGTAAGCACTGAGACTTTTTGCACCCCTATCAGAAACAAAATACAATGGTGATTATCAGAATCAATACAATAGTAGTTTTCAAGTTTTCAGTGATATTTACAAGTTATACAAGGGTACACAAAGTTAATGTCTAAGAGCAATGGGTCCTGTCAAACTTCGCTGGCTTCTAAGGAACACAGTGGATCACAGGGTGACCGGAATGATTCACTGCTAAAGGGAATGATTTCTCAGGAACTGAAAGGCACTCAGTGCCCTAGAAACCATGGACTTTAACATAAAAACCTTTAGACATGCCTCTCAAGACAGCTAGATCAGGCCAACTCCATGACTCCCCATAAGCATTGGTATTAGTTATTTGTGCTTTTGGTATGGAGTCTTCTTGTGCTGTACTGACAGTGTACTTTCTGTGGAATAAATGCCCTGGCTCCTGTAGTCGACTTTGCCTTCCCACTTCATGGCACGTGTCAAATGTGTTCCTTCGGGTGTCTTTCTAAGGAAAGTGGTGTTCTTGTAGGTAGCATATCATTTCGGCTTGTATCTATGTTCAATCACATAAATATTTAAATGAAAGCGTTTAATGTTACATTTTCATTCAAGGCTATTATTTGACAGGTAAGTTTCTTGTAATTTTAAAGCCTTTTTCTAGATGTCCTTTGCTTTTTTCTTCCTCTGCTGTTTTTCATTTGTGGCTAAGCATTGTACACTGGAAGTTCTGGTTCCATTCTTCTTTTTATCACCATGGTAACGGTGACATTTGTGCTTTCTATTTTTTAATGATGTTAATTATTTTCCCCTTTCTTGCCAATTTAGGGTTCCTTTGAGTTGCAGTGTGTGTGTGTGTGTGTGTGTGTGTGTGTGTGTGTGTGTGTGTGTAAGACTCCTGTTGTAGTGGTATGGTTCTTCTGGTCTTGATTTATTTCTCTATTTCTGAATGGTAAGTTCACTATTTCATTTCCTTCATTCCTAGAGTATATCATACTCTTTCCTCGTCTGGTGTAATTGCTTAGTTTCTTTAAGATTTCTTTATGTATGACTTGATGCTTTTCTCTTTGCCTTGGATTTTAAGATTCTGAGTATAAAATACCTCCAGGATGACCTTTTGTGTGAATGTAACTAAGACCTTTTGTACTCTTATACTTTTTGTAACTGGAACTATATGTCTATATTTTTCTATGGTTTGAGTAATTTCTGCTATTATTTAATTAAATAGGTTTCCAAAACCCATTGCTGCCCTTTCTTTTTGGAACATTAGTAATGATAATATTTATTCAATGATATCTCATAAGAATGTCTCCATTATTTTATTGTTTATTTATTTATGTATTTATTTATTTTCTAATTTATTTTTTACTAGGAGTTATGTCTCAGGACCCAATCACCTACCAAATATTTCACTTCCTATTTTCTACTTGGGGATGTTCAGATTTCAAAATATGATTTGACAGTGGGAAAAGATTTTTTATGATTAGAGGTGTGGAAATTAACTTTTTTTAGAGAACTTGAAAGCCTGTATTTGTTCCAAAGACTTACTTTCAAGAAGTAAGGAGACATTCAATACACAATCTAGACCTCTACTTTAAGGAAACTGGTTCCATTTTCTTTGTTTAACATATGTATGTTAGTATACATTACATTATAAAATTAAGTTTCATTGCTTAAAGAGGAAAAATTTAAAGCTACATGTATGGAATGGACAGTCTTATTAAACTAAGAAAACTGATAATAAATCATAATAAACTTAATTATCTGCAACAAGGATAAAAACTATCACAAATATGCATGATATTTGTGATATTAGCCATAAAGGTATTTAGTGTAAGAGTAGACTATTGGCAGCCCCAGGAGTTGCCATTATTACTATTACTTTTGACTCATAACTATGTCAGTTCTTTTTCTACCTTATGAGTAGTGACTCAGTTTGATCTAAGTGCTGAATATCTGAAACAATAATATGTTCTTTACAGTCTATAGCAATTTGGTAAGGAGAATATATAAATATTTTAATTATAATAAGATATTTATGGTATTGGGAATAGATTAAGAGTTCAAAGGTATATGGAGTAAGGAAGTTGGTCATAAGGAATCAATAACTATTGACAGTATTTACTATAAAATATGAAAATGTTATGAAACTTTTCTTTTTAGAGAAGTCAAAAAGCATGATATAGAAAAATGAAATGACTGGAGTTGGTGAGCTTCCTTTAGCCCAGGCAAACTGTCTCAGTGGGTGTCCCCATCATGTTCTGGACCTCTTTGCTCTCACTCCTCAGCTGGACTTTGGGAGCTCAGACCAGTGCTCTGATGTGGGTCTCTGTCTCTGTTTCTATCAGTAGCTGGATGAAGGTTCTATGGTGACATTTAAGATAGTCAACTGTTGTAATTGGAGCAATGGGGCTGCATCCCCATCGCCCCGGCTGCCCACTTGGCTAGCTTATGCCCCGAAATAATTACACGGACACTGTATTCTTTTAAACACTGCTTGGCCCATTTCTATCTAGCGTCTTCTAGGCTAATTCTCACATATTAATCTAGCCCATTTCTAATAATGTGTGTAAGCACCCCAAGGTGCGCTTACCAGGAAGATTCTAGCCTAGGTCCATCCTGGGTCGGAGTTCATTGTGTCTGCCCAGGAGAGCGAAGCAGGGCCTCTGCTCCAGAGAGCAGAGCTGTCAAGTCTGAGCTCACTTCCTCTTCCTCCCAGCATCCTGTTCTGTTTACTCCTCCCACCTATGTTTTAACCTATCAGGGCGAGCAGTTTCTTTATTGCTTAACCAATGAAATCAACAGATTGATATATGACACTCCCACATCAGTCAACAGTCTGACTACAGGGCAAGGTTAGTTAATGTACTCTCTCCACTATTGCTTAGGGTCTTGGCTGAGGTCATCCTTGTGGATTTTTGGGAATTTCTCTAGTGCCAGGTTTCTTGCAAGCCCCATAAAGGCTCACTCAATCAAAATATCTCTTTCCTTGCTCTCCATCTCCTTTCTTCCCCCATCTTGACTATTCCTTTCCTTCAAGTTTTCCTCCAACTCCCCTTCTCTCCTCCTCTTCCCCTTCCATCATCCCTTCTCCCATCACCCCCAAGCTCCAATTTTATCAGATCTTGTTTATTTCCCCTTCCCAGGGGGATCTATATATGCTGTCTTAGGATTCACCTTGTTACTTAGCTTCTCTAGGGTCATGGACTATAGACTCTTTATCCTTTGCGTCACAGCTAGTATCCATTTATGAGTGAGTACAAACTATGTTCATCTTTCTGGGTCTGGGTTACCTCACTCAGGATGTTTTTTTCTAGTTCCATCCATTTGCATGCAAATTTCAAGATGCCATTGGTTCCCCCCCCCCCCATGAGTAATACTCCATTGTGTAAATGTACCACATTTTCTTTATCCATTCTTCAGTTGAAGGGCATCTAGGTTATTTCCAGGTTCCAGCATATACAAATAATGCTGGTATGAACATAGTTGAATTCCAGCCAGACAGCATAAGGCTAAACTAGACCCTCTGAAAGTGGGTAACAGTTGTACAGCTGGGGCAGACTGTGGGGCTATTGGCATTGACACCAGGATTTATCCCTAGTGCTTGTTCTGACTTTTTGAAACCCATTCTCTTTAGATGGATACCTTACTCAGCCTAGATATGGGGGTGGGCTTTGGTCTTGCCTCAAAGTGATGTGCCAGACTTTGTTGACTCCCCAGTGGGAAGCCCTACCTTCTCTAAGGAGTGGTTTGGGGGGTGGAGTGGATGGAAGGTGAGGGGAAGAGTGGGAGGAGAGGAGGAAGAGGGAACTGAGATTGGTATGTAAATTGATAAAAGATTGTTTTAAAAAATAAATTAAAAAATTTAAAAAATGAAACGATTTATACAAATTCATAGATACACCAAAATATATAAAATTCTTGGCAAACTGCTACTTTCCTCTGTCCTTAAAATAAAATGAATGGGTGAGTACCAGACCTGTAGGTGTATAAAAGTGCAGAGGGTTAAAATACTGGTTTTCTCTTCTCTGAACTATAGATATTAAAGATTTCTTTTGTTACTAGATATGAGATTGTTATGAGGTATTAGAAAATACTGAATATTATAATAACATGAATCAAACTAAATCAAATTTAATTTTTAAGTATTTAAAATATGACTGTAATTTCCTGCTAAATTGCAAATAAAGAATAATGAAACACACACCTGTATACATATAATTTTAATATTGTATAAAAGATAGTTCTAAGACATTTTCCCCAAATATATATATTAA